CCTCCTTCCCTCTCTCTTTAATTTTCCCTTAACAGAGGGCTGCTCTAAGCCTGCATGTGACTGTTCCAGTAAAATTAAAATTAAAAAAGGAAAAAAAACAGTATTAATATCACTTGACTGAAGCAAAATATTTTTTTTTAAATCTAACCCATCATGATTTCTGTTTGCACTCCTCTGTGTGTCTTCCCATTGATTTTTATCAGTGTTACTGTACATTTTTCTTTTTTTAAAAAAAAACTAATTAAACAGGAATGCTTTAAGCTTTAAAAGCTACAGTCTAAATTTCCTCATTTTTACTCAACTGCAAAGTAACATGACTCTTCATTTCTGTTTTTAAGTACCATTTTTGGGGAGGGGTGCTTCTGGTTGGAGGCACAAAGTGGCAAGACAGACGAACATCAATGCTGGATTGAGCTGAACTGCAACTAGACTAGTCTCTATACTGAAAGTACATCCTCATATATATTGTCACAGTGCCAATAGCAGGAGCAGAAAGTGGTGTCCATAAAGCTTGATTTATCAACAGTTGAACATTTGCCATATAAATAAAAATGCAGTGCAGATTAGGAGGACAATTCAGTTAGTGCCTCCTATATGGAAGACAGTCTACCCAGAATATAGTGTTGCAAAACTGGGGTTGTGTAGCATCCTGCTTTCCTAGCATCAGGTTAAGCAAAATCACTCAATGGATATGAACCACCTGTATCATCATCTTCAAGCAAGATGGTTCAGAGTAGAGTGCTTTGTATAAGCATGCTCAGTATGTCTATTTATCTTTGTCACTAGAATACTTCCTCAACCTAATTACTGAAACCAGTACTTCTGTCGTCTCACATAAGGATGTATGACAGCACTGCAGGAAACTCTTCAGCAATGACATATTGCAAGAATGGAGGTTTCTGCACTGATTCTTTTACAGGGATGGGGACGGGAGAATCATAAGCACGACAGATCTTGACACTATTGGTTGGGGAGTTTAATTTGAATTGGAAAGTGGCCCCAAATTCATTGCATGGTTTTCTTGAAGTGGTATTATCGCAACCATCTGGACTAAGATATGGAAATGTTTTCAGGTTGTTTCTGTAAGCTTTTAAAAAACTTTATTGTGAATAATGCATCTTTGTATTTATGGAATTAATATTGAAAGAGAGAATGAAAATCAATTTACTTCTGTTTCTCAGATGTAAACTGTAAACATCAAGATTCTTAACTGGGAGATGGGAGTAAGATCAGCACCCTTCTCACAATGGCTAGAATGTAGATTTTGTGGCTCTTTGTCACATTATCTAGTTTTAGGGATTGTGTATTTACAGGAGAGATTATAGCAGTGCCAAGGATGATGTGTTTCTCTGCTAGACTAGGATTCTCTCTACCTCTTCAGGGTGAATACTTTTGACTAAGCTGCTATCCATAATGTCTTGTGAAAAACATTGTCTATAAAATAATTATTTTTATTTTATTTTTTGTTCCTTTGCTATTATATGTTCAGAGTCTAATACTTTAACATGCAGCCAAACACCATTTTTAAAAGAACTAATGTCACAATTTGCTTATTACTTTGAAATAAACTGAACACTTGCAGTTATCTTATAAGTTACTTTGACTTTTATCAGAAGTTATTCTGACTGGGAAAGATAAAATGTAGTTACTGAAGATGCAATTTGCTGTTGCAAAAAGCTGTCTGTCGGGGAAATACTTTAGAAATAAATGTAAGGGAAAAAAGCTAACAATCGCATTATTCATCACTGGCTTTTTTTAGCAGCTGCAGATCAGGAAAATAGTCTTTTCTTCCTCATTCCCTTATGTGTAACATCCTTGTTTTCTACTGTTCTATTACATTGTGTATTTATAGTTCTCTGCTTACCATTGTGCATATACAGGCAATAAAGTGTACATAGCATTACTTGAAAAATTAAATTTTGTATCCATCTGTGTTTCTGCTTTTGTTTAGTGATATTGTAGTAGTAATTATAGTAACTTAGCTTATGTAAATATGTCGCCTGGCTTAAAACTAATCCCAGGCAAAAAGGCAAGCAATAAAAACCAACCCAGAGAATGTAAGGTCCTATGTTAAAGCTAGTTCCGTGATTTTTTTTAGACTGAAACTGGGCTTCACATGTTGATTTAGTCTAGCAAATTATCCAGGATATTGCTTCCCACATGCAGTTGACCTATATTTTTTTAATTGTTTGGATCCCTTGATGCAAAGCTGTCAGATGTAAGGTGTGACTAGTTGTTTGAAGGTGAAACTGTAGTACACAAATTTAGATAGCACCAATACTACTGTAATATTGAGGAACACTCAGTTTGAATAAGTGTAACATTCATAAAATATTTTAAAGTCCTTTTCTATTTAAGGATTTTTATCCTGACTTTTAGAACTAAAGTCCTACCTGATCTGGTTCAGAATTAAAGACAGAAAAATAATTTGCAACCTAGTAGCTGGGTAGCAGAAGAACTACTTTGGTGTAGTGGTTAAAGGCATCAAGGTAGAAACTGGGAGACTATGAATTCTAGTCCCACCTTAACCCAGCTGGATGACTTTGGGACAGTCACTCTCTCTCAGCCCTAGGAAAAAAGCAATGGCAAACCACTTCTGAAAATTGTGTCAAGAAAACTACATGGACTTGTCCAGGCAGTTGCCAGGAGTCAAGATTACTTGAAGGCACCAAAAAAAACCAAAACCCCAGCTGGGTAGCAAATACAGTAATTAAAGTATTTCTGATGTCAAATTACATATTTTTGGCACTAGTATTAAAGAATAAAACTAAAAATATGGGAAATCCTGTCTATATCAGTAGGCTACTTTAAAGAAGTTAACATAATTTGAAAATATTTTTGACACTGAAATTCTTCGTCCAGCATATTCAGAATGTAATAACATATTGCTGTATTTAGCTGCTAAAATAATGTCATATTGATTGATCTCTGGAAATGCTTACTAGCACTCTGCAACATACTCCACTAAGCAAGGATTTTTTTTTCATAAAGCATTAAATATTCATAATGGCCTGCTTTGCACCTAATGGTAAATTATAACATCTGGGCTTGCACTTCATACTGAATCAAAAACAAAATTATAAATTAAAAAAATATTGACAGTCTTTTTCAGATTGTTATATTCATTTTCCCTCTGTCATATGTTGGGAAGGAAGATCTCCTATGATTATTTATACAGTATATGTGTGTATGTGTGTGTATTTATGTACGTATGTATGTATAATCTGCTGAATCTTAAATGAGCATTGTTAGGCCAACAGTAATAGATTTCTATGTACAGATTATGAGATGCCTGAAGCCAGATTGATAATTCTAGTCAAATATATATATACTGACTTTGAAGATTACATCAATATGAAATGAGAACTAAAGCCTGCATTCAGCAAATAAACTGCTGTTGATGGGCATACAGCTAGTCCTCGTTTAGCAGCCACAATTGGGACTGGCAACTCGGTCATTAAGCGAAGCGGTTGCTAAGTGAAACCGACTGTGCTTATGATCTTACTTCAGCTTTCCTTTGCTTTACAGACCTGTGAAGGTCATAAATGTGAAGATTGGTTGTAAAGTTACCTTTTCACCACTGTTGTAACTGCAAACAGTTGCTAAACAAGGCAGTCACTAAACAAGGACTACCTGTACTTTTTGGAGTACATCCCAGCGGAAAGAGGTGTTGTGTAACATGAATGTCCACTAAATATGAAAGGTAATTTCATGCACGTATAAAAAGCCCATCGTTTTGCCCATGCTTAAAAGTATGCATTGCGCTTTTCCAAGATTTCTGCCACCCTTCCTAGTAACTCACCCTAACCTCAGTCTTCCCAGTACCTTCCCACTAATCTTCCCACTGAAGCTTCCTCCTCTTCCTTCTCCTCCTCCTTCCTTTATTAAAGCATTTGAGCCAGAAAGCAGAAAACACAATATACATCAAATGTATATATCAGATATACAGTGGGGCAAAAAAGTATTTAGTCAGCCACCAATTGTGCAAGTTCTCCCACTTAAAAAGATGAGAGAGGCCTGTAATTTTCATCATAGGTATACC